CTTCAGAGTCAGACATCAGTGAGGCAGACGAACAGCTGGAGCCTGTTCCCAGTGTGCACATGCACAGAGTTGCAAGACAATGGGAACAGCTAAAGAACGGGGGTTCATCTTGGAAGTAAAGCCACAGGTGGATGATGAATGGCCCCTCCCAGAGGAAATAAAAGAGGAGCGAAAAGGGAGTGGAGTTTACAGGAGAAAATTAGTTCGTTTAATTCGTTAGTGACTCTCCGAGACTCCTTGCCAAATTTTACAGATATCGGCCTGGCAGTTCTCCAAGCCAGATAAGGTCTTTGACCATAAATCCACCCTTGAAAGACTTTGCTGGATGTGGATGAGCAGAATTCACAGTAAATTAACAAAAGGGTTTTTTGTCGGGACAAGGAGTTTGCTTCATGCTCTTGGGAAGCCTCGGTCAGAACAAGCGATATGAAGTTGAGTGGACTTCAACTCCCAGAATTCCACAGCCAGCATTGAAGTCCACCCAACTTCAAATCTCCAAGGCTGAGAAACACTGTATTACAGTAAGCTGTCAGATAAATATTAAACAGACAAAGGAAAGTCTGATTGGAAAAGTGGCGGGTTCTTTCCAATCCACAGAGGCTACAAGCCCCTTTCCCCAACCAGGGCTGATTCTTTCTGGAGGCTAAAAGCTGAGGTCTCCTTACCTACTAAAGCCAAGATGACGGTCAGCAAAGGAGCTGCAGGGAAGGCGATTGTCATGTTCATTTCCAGCATCTGTAACAGGTCCACTGGGAAAAGGAGAATGAAGCCAAATTCAAAAGAGAAGCAGTCAGGCAAGAGATAAATTCCTTTTTCTTGGCCTACGGCAGTAATCAAAAATGAATTCCTGTACTGGTTGGTACTTTTTTGTTGCGTGCGCACCCACTGCATATTGCTTGCGCATGCGCAGTGGACTGTAAGTTATTCTGTGCAAGCGCAGAAACAAGCCAGCAATGGCTGAAAAGACAAGGAACTGGTTTGGGGTGGCATGGCCAGCCTGGGTTGCTGCCAGTTCTGTGACTCAGGCCAAACCACCACTACCAGTTTGGCCGAACTGGGAACAATCCACCTCTGGCAGTGATGGTGAACCTTCTCAGAACCGAGTGCCGAAAAGTGAGCACTTTGCACACATGCGAGCTCGCCTGAGCCATGACCAGGAAGAGGAGCTGCCTAAGGGGGCATGAACACACTGGGAAATATTTTTTTTGTTTCCGGTGCGCGCATGCACGGCAGCCAGCAAGTCTTCCGGTTACTGCTGCGCGCTTGCACGCACCGATCAGCTGGCTGGCGCACATGCTCACTCCATAAAATGGAAGACCAGCTCATCTGGTTTCCAGCACGACTGCACGCACAAAGGCCAATCGCCATGTGCACATGCGCGCCAGAAACCAGGAAGAGGAAGAGCACAACCTGCGTGTGTCAGGCGACATGGCGTGCCTTAATTTCCACCATCATGGGTCTGTGGGATGACACAGGAACACAGTCTACAGCTAAAAGTCAAATGGGATCCCAGGTAAAAGAATTGAGGGAAACACTGCTAGGCAGAGTAAGGAGATATTGGGGTACGGATGTCCCTTCCAGACCTGCTGAGCTATTGTTTCCCTATTCCCAAGTACAAGGCAATTTCACGTAACCACTGAGCACTAACCACTGTATGTGTGTATATGTGTGTGTGTGTATGTATGTATGTGTGTGTGTATGTGTGTGTGTATGTATGTATGTATGTATGTATGTATGTAATATTTGTGCTGATAAATAGTAGTGATCTTCCTCCCATATTTGGGCAAACCGGGGGTTGTAAAATCTAAATCTAAATATCTATATATCTATATATCTATATCTATCTATCTATCTATCTATCTATCTATCTATCTATCTATCTAT